CTGGCCTCCATCACAAACCAATGTCTGAGGTTGACTTCGTTGCCGCAATGACAGCTCGGCTCCAGCGTGCCCCTGAGCCCGCCACCGCAAGCACAGCTGGCGGGTCTGATGCCACCGGCTTGTTTGATCTGTGAAGGCGCGTCAAGCCCTTGTGCCTTGCTTCCATGCATCCATGGCATTTCAAGATGTACAGCTAAGCGGATCTGATGGCGTGTGCCCCAGCCATTCTGCAAATAAGATTCTGGAGCTTAAGTTTTTTGAGAACTGCTGTTTAATGGCTGTGTGGTTGCGTGTGCAAGACACGGCCGCCGCGCTATTACGGGCAGTCACATGTACGTATCATACCATGGGTTCTTGCACAGAATAAAATGACGCACACGAACATGCAGACAACTGGATTCAACTAAATTTGTAGTTACGTCGGGTCGCCGCAGTCTACGGCAGGATTTGTAAGACTTTTGCAGCCGCAGAATGCGGTAGGACCTGTAAGCCTCCGGCATATCAAACTTGATTTGTAAAGAAGCCTTCGATTCGTAGTGCAAGCTTTTGTGTTTGCCGCGGCACTACGCACTCCTCCTGTGTGCAAAAAGGTTCTTGCACATGTAATGCATTCAACAGCACGTCGCAGGATGTGAACATTTACGAGCTGCCTGCTCTTCTTTTGCGCAAGTCACGGCTTGCCACGTGAGTATGCAGACAACACAGTTGGCATATGCACGCCATTTAGCTTGACGAAAACTGGAATAGACTTGCTGAGTATTTTGGCTAAAGCTAGCTTGACTCCAGGCGCCGTAGTGCTCCGGCCCAGCATTTCGGTCAAGGGACTCCTGACGCCGTGCTAGCATGGCCTCTCCACCGGTGGGCTTCAACAATTTGGGCGCCTCGTGTTTTCTGAACTCTGGCGTGCAATGTCTCTTAGGAGTACCAGAGTTGGTATCCGTGATCCGCGGTGGCTTCCATGGCTCCAGTGAGACAGAGAAAGCACTAAGAGCAGTGCTCGACATGGTCCAACAGCAGTCAGGCTCGCTGAATCCCAAACCGTTGCTAGACTTGTTCTACAGCGGTCGTCAAGAGGATGCTGCCGAGTTCGTGCTCGGGCTGCTTCAGAACTGTTCCAGTACGCACCCAATCTTCCAAGGTGAAGAGCAGCCACGACTGAGGTGCAGCCACTGCGCCTATAGCCGTGCGCTGAGAGCAGAATCTTTTCTTTCGCTCCAGCTACCACTCATGGGGTCGACACCAATCCGATCAGTGCAGGAGGCTCTCAGCGCCTACATAAATGCAGAGCACATGCAGGAAAACGTGGCAGAATGGTACTGTCTGAACGAAGGATGTCTCAATTCCGGACGCGCTCTAGACGATCCAGTACATCAGACTCGTATCACCAAGTGGCCGCCTGTCTTGCTGCTGTGCCTGAAGCGCTGGGAAGCCGCCCACGGTCTCCTCGCGCACCAGGTCTACTGCAACAACATCATTACGGCAGAGGGCAACACGTACAGCTTAAAGTCTGTCATCACGCATATCGGAGCTCAGCCATCGTCTGGTCATTATGTCGCCTATCGGCACTGCCAAGAAGGCTTCAGACGATTTGACGATGCTCGCGTCACTTCCGCCGGCAACGTCGCTGGCTTTCTCAGCTCGGTGCCCGAGGAGAAGGTATACGTGATCGTCTACCGCAAGGAGGACGTGGACCCAGACCCACCTCAGCACGATGAGAACTCCGGCGAAGATTCTGACGTTGTCCCATGCTTCGACTGCAAGCCCTACTCCAAGCAGAAAAGCATCGACCTGGACTCTGACTCAAATGAGAAAGGCCAAGCCTTGCGCAATGCGCAACAACAAGCAGAAGGCCGCGAGCAAGGAATCATCGATCTCGACTCCGACTCGAACAAGGATGACGAGGACCCCGAGCAACCTCCAGACTCTAACAGGAAGAGGAAAATCATCAATCTCGACTGCGACTCCAATGAGGATGACAAGGCTAAGGACTCAGCCAACAGCCAGCAGTCGCAGCACGTGCTCGCCAACTTCAGTGAGGAAGAAAGAGCCACTATTGCTGGAGTCCTTCGTAGCAGCGCACGGCTAGCGGCAGCTCTCAAAACTTTGTCGACAGCTGTGCCCAACTTGACCACCGAAGACAAAGCTTCCTCCAGCTACGTGTCCAAGTACACACTTCGCAATTGGTGGCGAAAGCCGCAAGTCTTGGAGAAGATCCTCGAGAAAATGGCACTGCCCAAGAAAACGGCGAAGATGCACAACAGCCGTGCCGGTAGCGTTCGCAGCTCATTGACGCCCGAGACACGCAAATGCATCGCTGCTGCCATGGCGACAGCCAAGAACACCTCCGACTTCATTGCCAAGCTCACCGAATCGCTACCAGGCTTCAGCACTACCAACTCCGAAGCTGGCGTCTACATTCCCCGAGGAACCCTACACAATTGGATGACTCAAGAAACCAATAGGACCTGGTTCGCCAACGTGGACCCAGCCCAGCCTCAGCCCTGGACAGAAGAGTACAAGCAGGTCTTCACCGTGAGTATTGAAAAACCTAACAGAAGAGTGCCAGCCGGCACATCTCTAGACGACGCCAGTGGCCAATACCTTCTCTATGGATCCTGGACTTTCTGCCCAACCTGTGGACGACGACGGCCTCGTCAAGCGCCGTCTACCTTAAATTTACAGTGCACATTCAACCCTGCGGCAGTCTGTCACACAGGCTGTGATGTTGACGCCCAGGCTCTGCTGGCTCCAAGGCAGGCACACCCCATAAGAAGTCAACTGGAAGGCTACGTCACGCCCTTGGCAGACTACTGGCAGCCCTGGACCCACTACATTGCGAACGGAGACCTCCCGCTGACCAGACTGCTTTCAGAGAAAGAATTGAAAGATCTGGCGGTCGTAGACATCAAGGTGGAGTTCGTCAGCAAACGTGGTGGCAACGCAGAGGTATTCAGCAAACAAAAACGATCGGTCGTTCGCTGCCGTTGGCGGGCTGAGTCCCTCTGCACGCTGAAGCGGGAGGACTTGGCTGCCCGAGCCTTTTCGTGGCTCCTCGCCAACAATTCAACATATGCCGAGTACGTGCAGATGCACAATCACATCATCGAGGATGCCGGCAAGGACGATTCCTGGCGAGAGCTGCCGACCGCACGCCTCTTGCTGAGCTCGCCAGCCATCGAAGTAGCAGGTCGTCCGTGGCTGTACCCTTTGGCGAGCATGGCCGACACCGACATGAAGCATCGGTTGGTGCCACTGGGATGGCTGAATAGCAAGCAAACACCAAGCGCCAGAACCAGCTTCATGCGTAAGCTAAGCAGCCGGTGCATTGACTACAGTCGAGACTTTCCACTGCAGTGCCTGCTCTATGACACTTGCATGGCACGAACCATTACGTCCGTCATGAGCGTTGCCAATCAAAAGCACATCGCTCCAGAGCAGGCTGCCTCTGACATGGACATGTTTGAGGGCTATTGGTGGCAACAGCTGAGAAAGATGGAAGACATATGTCGCCAAGAATGGGAAGCCACGAAAGACATGACGACGGCACTGCCAAACATTTTCTTTACGGTGGCCCCTGCTGAGTGGAAGTACATCCTGGCAGACGGCATCTTCTACGAAGGCGATCTTACAGAGCAACAGAATCTTCTGACGCTCCACTTCCATAACACTCTGGAATCCCTTCTGGAGGTTCATGTGTTGAAGAACGGCCAAAGCTTGTCCCGCATCGGCATCGCCAAAGTCAGACAATGGAGTTTTCGATTCGAATTCCAGTCCAGAGGAACACTTCACATTCATGCTGTGCTTTGGGCAGATCTGCTTCCGGGCTGGTCGGCTGCAAACATCACGGCCCGAAGCGGCGGCAACCAGCCATCAGCATTCCTGTCTCTCTTGGAAGAACTTTTCCATTCGCGAGCAGACGTACAATGCGGAGACGGAAGCCATGTCCTGCTGAAATACGTAGCCGGGTACTTGGCAAAGGCCTCGGATGCGCTGCAGTTCCAAGCGAAACAAGCCTGTCACGAAAATGACAGCTGCTGGAGGCAAGCTTACAGACTACTCGCCAAAAGATCCCCCATGCAACAGGAGATCACCATGGAGTTCGCCGGCTTGCACATGGTCAAGCATTCCTTTTCTGGTGTGGCCATGTTTGCCCCGCTCCCAGGCAGTTCAGCCAAGAATGCAGCTCGACATGCCTACGAGGCCTACCAACATCATCTGACGCACTCCAAGGCAGCCTTCGGAGACGCACGCCACATGACCTTCATACAATGGCTGCGTCGATATCGAGTGGTGAGCACAGAAGGTAAGAACTTCTCCATTGCCATCAGAAATGCTGCAGGCCCCGCCAAAGGCAAAGCATGTGGAGTGGCGATGTCCTTCCCCTTCGAGTTGCTCGACATATTCATCGGCGCCTGGGCCGCTTCGTGCATGGAAGGCATGCTAGAAGAGCGTCTGTTACCTGACATCGACAGTGACCTCAACATACCCGGGTTCGAGATCGAATCAGCACGCAGAAGGGCCTTCCGAGCCCCAGAAGGATGTCGGTATCTCAAGGCCGTGCTTTCCCTGGATGATTTCCAACAGCCTGGCCCTCTCACCGACAAGTTCGCGCCGGACGTCGGCAAGTTCTTAACCCACGTAGAACGAGAACTTACCTTTCGAGGACTTGGAGCAGATCGCATCGCGACATTCAAGGCCAGGGTCCATGCCTGCGCCTTGCTCCTCTACCAGATCCGCGACGGAGCAGAAGACCCAGAACTATGGAGCGCGCGCAGGATCACAGAAAGCCCTCAACGGACCTGGTCCGAGGACCAACTAGAGGTCTTGAAGATCATCCGCCACGGCACAACCGTGAGCGATGCAGCCACGGCCCAAACGACCAACCGGCTGCTCCAGGTGGGCGGCGGGCCCGGCACCGGCAAGACGGAGGTGGTCATCGCCGCCGCTAAGCAAGCCTTGGAAGATGGCTGCCGCGTGTTGATCGCGGGTCCCATCGGTTTGCTCGTGTCGATGTACAGGTTGGTTTTGAAAAGTTGTAGTAACAGAAGTGCCTGCGCCAGCAGTCTCGTTGCCAAATCATTAAACCTTCTCTGCCAGGCTTCGACTTCCAGCCAACGACAACCTGACGATGGAAACGATTCACTCCGCTTTCCAGCTGGTTCGAGAAGCCGACGCAGCGTACGTGCCTCCTGGAAGACTTCGAAAATACGATCTTATCATTCTGGATGAGGTCAGCCAGATCGATGCCGAATCATGGTCCAAACTCAAGACTGCCCTGGGAGAGCTCAATCCGGGACCGATGGTGGTCTTTGTCGGTGACTTCCAGCAACTGCAGCCGGTAGCTGGCAAGCCTCTACTACAACAGGATCTCAATCGCCAGGTAGAATTAGGTAAGCTGCCTATGATAGAGCTCCGACACCACGCACTAGCACGATCCGTAGACCCGGTGATGTTGGACTTCTTGAACCTTGCCCGCGTGAGCCAGCCCTCCCGTGAAACGCTTGAAAAGTTTTTCGGTCACAGAGTCTGGTCTTCAAATCTTACGGAAGCAGCGCAGAAGGCTCGCGAGGTGGAGCGCGCCAACGGTCGACCCTTCACCTTCCTGACAGTCACCAACCGGGGAGCGGCCAACGTCAACCTTGCAAGGCTGCAATTGGAGTTTCCCGACGAAGCCAGCAAGCTAGCCGAAGGTGGAGGCATTCCTGCAGAGCTGGGAACAGTGGTCCTAGCACCTGGAATGAGGATACGCCTGACGTACAACGTTGACAAAGAGAGAGGCTTCGTCAACGGCAACAGCGGGGTGGTGCGTGCCGTGCTGCGTCCAGACGTCTTCGTGCTGCAGAGTGTCCAGGATTTACCCATCTTGGTACATCCAATCACCCTGAAAGGTCGAAAATACCTCCCCGTATCCTACGGGTGGGCCACAACCATGCGCCGAGCTCAGGGCGCGACTCTCGAGCAGGTCGCCATCTGGTTTGATAGAAGGCTGGCCGACAGAGGATATGCGTATGTTGGCATCTCCAGAGTTAAGCTTCACCAAGATGCCTTCCTAGTTGGAAGAATCCGTCGCACAGATTGGCTACCTGTAGGCGGCTCTGGCGATCAACAGCATCTGTCCGTTCTCAGTGAAAGCTCAGACGAGGAGGCAGACGGCTTGTCCGAGAGTGAGCTGAGATCCCCCGACAGCGAGTCTTGTGAGCCAGATTGCAGTCCAGAGTCAGACGAGGAAGTAGAGGGCCCGTCCGAAAGTGAGCTAAGATCCCCTGACAGCGAGTCCTGTGAGCCTTGAGCCAGATTGCAGTCCAGAGTCCGACCGCACGAGTCTGACGTGAAACGTCCTGTCTCTGCGGTAGTGCCAGTAAATGTGTATGGACCACAGCTGTGGCCCTACAAAACTTGAATTGTAAGCCAGAGGCTGCAAACTTGAAAGGCCGCTCCTCGTGGCGCAGCTAAGATTTGTAATGCCTGCCTTTGGTCTTTTTGTGATTTGTTTACGGTTGGCCGCCACAACAGCTTTGGATTTTCGACGCCGGCCTTACCTAAGCTTGAGTTGTAAGCCAGAGGCAAACTTGTACGGCCGCTCCTCG